ACGTTCCCTTCTTATTTATCCTTTCCCTGACCTCAGAGACTTGCCCTGGTACCCCAAATACAGTAGTAGTTGGATGCCTCTGGGAGAAGGTGACATGTGGAAAGTGAGGAAGTGAGACCCCTGTAACACAAGGAAACCATCCCAGACAGGGAAACCATTCTGCACAGAGGGTACATCAGGTGCAAAGCCCCGAGGTTGCAAGTTGCTGTAATGTTTGAGGATTAGCACAACAGTCCACAGCTGGCAGGGCGTGAGGAAGGGAGGGCACCGTGAGATAAGGTGGAGGCCATAACAAGTAGGGCATTGTAAGCCAGCCAGAGATGGGAGGGCTGTAAAAGGGGGTTTTCAGCGGGGGAGTCACGTCATAGAAACTATCTGGCTGCTCTGTGTGGTGAGAGAAGAAATTAAGAAGAAAGGTGGAGGCAGAAAAACCAGTGAAAAGGCTACTGTCAGTCGGAGAAGTAATGAGGGGATCAGAGTAAGATGGCAGGTGTGAAGAGGGAGCACCCTAATCAAGACATGGAAACTGCCATGGGCAGTGGCTCGGTTGGTTGGAGCATCCTTCTGCACACCAAAAGGTTATGGGTTCCACTCCCCATCAGGGCACATACCTAGATTGCAGAGGATCCAATCCCAGGTTTGAGCACTAGGCAACCGATGTGAGGGAGTTTTCCCTCACATTGATGTTTCTCTCTCTCCCAATCTCTCTCTCTCAAATCAATACAAACGTATCTTCTGAGGATTAAAAAAGTAAAAAATTAAAAAGATATGGAACCTCTTCGTTATTCCAGAAAGCTACCTTGCAATCCTTTCCAGTAAACAACACCCTCTCCACCTCCATCCTACTCTGACTGCCATCACCATGTGTTCCATCTGATTGAGGATTCCTCAAAAGTGGACTCATAGTCTACATTCTTTTTGTGTCCTTTCCCTTCAACATGTTTGTGAGATTCAGTCATGCTGCTTGTATTCGTATTTTGTTCCTTTTTATTGCTGAGTTGTATTCCATTATATGAATAGACCATAATTTATCCATTCTCCTCTTGTTGCATGTTTGGGTTACCAGTCCTGGGCTATTACGAATACAGCTGCTATGAATACACATATACCAAGTCCTTTTGTTGATGTTTGCATTTATCTGGGGTAAACATCTAGGAGTGGAATTGTTAAGTCATAGGATAAGTATATGCTTATCTTTGTATGAAACAGCCGAAGTTTCCCAGCGTGGCTGTGCCATTTACTGCTGCCAGCCATACAGGAGAAATCTTTGTTGGGGCCCCATGGTAACAGCCTGGAGAGGATGGGGACAAGGGTAGATCCAAATGGTCCTGGTAGCGATCCCTGGGACCTGGGATTGGCAGGCCAAGCTTCTCTCTTCACCCCTTGGGGTCATCAGCCCTCCAAGGGCACAGGGCCTACTGGTGCCAGATTGCTATTGTTATCCACTTGGAGATGCCCTAGGGCAGTGGTTCTCAACCTTCCTAATGCCACGACCCTTTAATACAGTTCCTCATGTGGTGATCCCCAATTTCATTGTAACAAATTGAACATAAAGCATAGTGATTAATCACAAAAACAATATGTAATTATGTATGTGTTTTCCGATGGTCTTAGGTGACCTCTGTGAAAGGGTCATTCGATCCTCAAAGGGGTCGCGACCCACAGGTTGAGAACCGCTGCCCTAAGGCATTGTCTCAGACCCAAGGAGGGCCAAATGCAGTGTAGCCTTGCCATTACAGAACAAATTCCCCTGCAGTCTGGGAAGGCCAAGGGATGGGGTATTCCAAATCCTGGCTCTGACCCAGGTAGACCTCAAGCTTGCCAGTGCCCTGGTGATACTGAATTTCTTAGCACAGCAGGACCTTCTGGCCCTGACAATGGTGAAGGGCTGTGACCAGAATCTTGTGGTTGGGCCACAGGCCAGAACCCATGTTCTGCCTGCCCCCACCCCGCACTGAGCTGGTAGTTACCATGTATACCCACTGAATGCCATCACTGCCACCCACCTCAGCCCCTGCTCTATCTTTGTGTATGCTCCCGTGTCTGTGTGGGCCACAAACAATGCTGGGACATGAGAAAGAGACATGCAAGCTGTGGACTTTTCAGCTTTTATTACAAAAAGAACTCGATCCTAGCCCAGTTTTCCAACAAGTCACCAACTCAAAGTCTGACGTGGTCAGGGCCTGTCTGGCTGGGGAGTGGGCTGGTGGACAGGTGCAGAGCCCTGCTCAGAACAGCAGACATGTCATTCTTCCCGTCCCGGGCTGGTAGGAGCAGAGCTGTCGAAGTAGCTCTCACAGGTCCTCACTGGGCCTCATTAAAGCGGGTCACCATTGTCTTGTGCAATGTTTCCTTGTAGGACTCGGTGGAGGTGACCCCATAGGAGCTGCCTCGGGCACCCAAACCGGAGCCCCGCACCCGTGTCTGGGCCTGTGTGAGGAAGGCAGACTGTCAGGGCACAGGGCCTATTGGTGTCAGATTGCTTACGGTCATCCACTGGGGGGTTGGGGGCCAGGTGGGGCTGCAGCAGAGAGAAATGAAGGATGGGGGTGAGATTACAGGAGACTCACCTCAATGGGGGTCACAATGCCCTGCTTCTTGCGACCCAGGCCACTGCCCTCTTTCCAGCCCATGGCCTGGAGCATGCGACTGCCGATGTTGTCACTGCCCAGACCATCCCGCGTGGGCTGCTCAAAGTCTCTGCAGGGGACAGCAGCACAGTGTGAGTGACTGGCCTGCTGGCCCCAAGCCCCCCACCTGGCCCTGGGCACTCACACGGAGGCGGCAGACAGGCTGGTGGACAGGTGCAGAGCCCTGCTCAGAACAGCAGACATGTCATTCTTCCCGTCCCGGGCTGGTAGGAGCAGATGTCGAAGTAGCTCTTGCAGGTCCTCACTGGGCCTCGGCTCAGGGATGCCATACTTCTCTCTGCGTTCGGCTGCCCGGTCCCGGTACTTCATTTGCTGAAAGTTTGTGTGTGTGAGAGAATGGGGGAGCTGGTCACTACTGGCAGGATATATGGGCATCGATGGGGAGTCCCATGAGGAGGATCCAGGTTAGGGAGGCAGGACATTGTGGGTGTGAGCAGCCGGCATGGGGGGATTGGGAGAAAGCCTCACAGGGACCGGATGTGAGATACCTGATGGCAGCCAGGCTGTGCTCAGCTAAGAACTTGAGCACCAGCTGCCCGAGGGGATGGACATGGCAAGGGACAGGGGGGATGGAGTCTAGGAGTGGGTCACACCTCACCTCCATGTCATTCTTCTCAAGTGCTTCTAGTTCATTTTCTGACAGGTGCGCTCGCCGATGAATCTCAAGGTTTTGCTATAAGAGGACAGGAGGAGTGAAACGGCTGGGCTGGGCTGGGCCGGACCAAGATTCCCCGCCACACCTCCCTCTGTCACCTTGTGGAGCCCGGAGAGCTGCTGGTGCCGGATGAGCGCCTCCTTGCTGGGGAACTGGCGCCGGCAGAGCAGGCAGGCCAGCTTCTGCCAGTCTGTGAGCTTCTCTTCCCGCTCCGGGCCCCCTCGCTCCTGCTCCTCCTCACTGTCACTCTCACCGCTGTAGGCGGCCACCAACCCTCGGGGTGGGCTCTGTAGAAGGCAGGAGGGCACAGGAGGTCAGGCCTGGCAAGGTCAGAGGCACCTGACCCCTCTTTCTGGCCTGGGTACTCACTGGGCGGTCGTCGCTGGCCAGTTTCGGGAGATCCATGCTGGTGTGCTGCCTCTCAGCGAGTGCTCCCTGAGGTGGAAGGACACAAGTTCAGGGACTCCACAGGGACCGGCAGGATGATAAGATGGGGCAAGGGGTGTGGATGGGCGGCCACACTATACCTTCTTCTCCAGGATGGCGTAGCCCGCATCTGCGGTGGCTGACTCCCGCCTCTCATCGTCCCGCAGGGAGCTGATAGGCTGGAAGCTGTTTTTGAAGTTTTCTTTCTGCTTGTTGAGACTGCGGGCCCAGCGCTCCATGTCCTTGGCGATCTAGGGGTGAGGGGGGGGGGGGCGGTGAGGCGCTCAGAAACCCAGCTCCATTCACTGCCCTCTGGCCCTGCAGCAGCCCGCCCCTCCCTGCCCTGCACCTCAAGCAGGTGAGACGGGCAGTGGGGAAAGCTCCCATTTCTTGTCATACTGTCATCGATGGTCAGCAAACCCCTCTCCAGCTGTGCCCCCATTCTCCTGACAGACACCCGCATTATGATGCTCCCTGTGTTTTTTCGTTTCACCATTCTAAAATGCACAGGATGGCTTTCTCTGTCTATAATTTTTATTTACATCTGATCTTTTGCCACATCCCATATTATATTGATTTCCCCCCACGCACAACACCACTTTTATAATTGACCAGATTGCCAATTTCTTGCTTTTAAGGGCTGCACTCAGACTGTCATACTCTCCCTATACACATGGACATTGAGGTTCCTGCCAATTGCCCAGACACAGAACACTGCAGTGGCTGGTTCCTACCCACCCCCTGCTGGGCCTGAGTTCTCTGGAACATATCTACATGCAGACACGGACTCCCCATAGTGTGAGTGGGGTGAGCCCAAAGGTGTATGCAGGCCCACACCGGCCTACACTCCCACCAGCAGCGTGAGGCTTCCCACTGGGGGACAGGAAAGCTGACAAAGCTCACGTGGATGGCACTGGCCACCTCAGGGAGGTGTGAGGCCCTGTCCTGTACTGAGGAGACTGCCCTGGCTGAAGGTCACATAGCAAAGAACAGAGCTAGACCAGGGCCTGGTATCTATCCCTGGAGCAAAATTCCTGCCCACGTACGCATGTCCCCTCAGCAGCGGGGGTAATGGGACAGAAAGGCAGTCGTTGGAAGACATGAACAGCCAGCAGTGACTGCCGGGCCTGGGTGCTCACCTGCTGGGCCGTCTTGGTCTTGTGCTTCTCCTTCTTCTCTTTGCCCTCCTTGGAAGGCGCCCCTGTCTCCTTATGCCCGTCGGCCGACTGCTCCAGGGCAGGAACGTAGGTCCGCCTCTCCCCATCCCAGTACAGGTATTGCTGGCTCTGAGCATTGTAGTAATACTGGGGGGGGAGGAGGAGGAAGGGGCATAAGGGAGGAACTCAAGAAGGGAAATGCAGACCCCACCCGCTTGCTCCCTGAGCCGCCCCATCACCTGGGAGTTGGGATCGTAGTAGAGGCCAGTCTGAGGATCATAGTAGTAGCCGGATGTCTCATCGTACTGGTAGGTGGAGACGTCAGGAACAGCTGGGGATGGTAAGGGGGAGTCAAACCCCTCCCTGCCTTGTGAAGAACTCCCCACCGCCCACCCACAGGCCGGGCTACTCACGGTACTGGCTGTAGGACTCCTGGGCAGTGGGGCTGGTGGCTGGTGGCAGGGCAGAGCTGGGATGGGTGGGGCTCTGGAGCTCAGATTTGAGCACAGCAGGCGATATGATGGTGTATGACTGCTCACGGGGCCAGACAGGGGAACAGGGTTCAGTGTCTGCTCGTGGCCACAACGCCCACCCCCTCGGGGTCTCCCTCTAGCTCCCTCACCTGGCTGTTGGCAGCAGCGCTCTGGCTGCCACTGGCCTCGGCTGCCGCCTGCTGGTAGATGCCAGGGGTGGCACCAGCTTGGGCGCGGGAGAAAGCCTGCAGTGACACAGAGTCTGCTCCCGGCTCTAGGGAGGCCTCGGCACCTGGAAAAAGGAACAGGGAGGAACGCGCCTGTGAATGGCGGGGCCCAGGACCCTGTGCCTGCCGGCCCCCACGTGGGATTGAGGAGACGCTGGGGCTCACCTGCTCCAGCTGGGTCCCCTTTGGTTCCAGTCATGCCAGGACCCTTGGCGCTCTTGAGGTAGCCATGGGCATAGAGGGAGGACTCTGTGCCCTGGCTGCCGCCATAGCCCTCATCCTGTTGATAGTAGCTGTAGTCCACCGATGATTCCTCAGTGGTGGCCCAGGCACCCTCCCCACCCTGGGAGGCCTGAGGGGCAGGTGGGAGGGGCTCATTAGCAAAGGAGGGGAGACAGGGGGAAATAACCTGCTAAGTAGCAGCTGCCCACAGCTGAGGCTAGTGTCTGCCGATAGAAAGCATGCGGCCCTCAGACAAGTGAGGTGAGAGGGCTGCTGGGCACAGCGGAACAGGGAGGCAGCGGAAACAAGACAGGAACAAAGATGCATGCCAAACGCTCCCGGGGCTGGCGCTGGTACGTCTGTTGTGTGGTGCATGTGCTGGGCATCAGATCAAGGAAAGTATCATCCTCCCCTTCTTTAGTCTCAGCTCCCAATTTTCCTCTAGCCCCTTATCAATTCCTTTTTATTAGAGCAAGCTGTAGTAATTCAGGATGATACAATAGCCGCCACACAGGAGAGAAAAGCAGCCACAGCGGCATGGAAAATGGAAGCCTGGGAGGTGAGGAGGAGAGAGTGAGGCTTTAGAGCCCACGGCAGCCACTGTGAGAGGGTTTTGGGTCCGCGGAAAGCCAAAATAGCAAGCCAGCCCTCCTTATGGCAGAGAGGGTGCGAGAGGGTCGCGGTGGCCATCTATCCAGATGCCGGGGCGAAGAAGAGTCTTTGAGTACCTGTGAGATGGCCCACTGGGCCGCAGCAATGGCAGTGCTGGCCACAGAGGCAGCATTGATGCGGCTGCCTTCGTTGGAGGCCATGTCCCTGGGGAGGATGTCAGACACTGGGAGTGAGATGGGGGGCCCCCAGCTGGGGGACAAACTGGGAAGGGACACAGGTGGGACCCTGACCTCTTAGAACCCTTTGCAAACTCAACGTTGATGGTCTTGCCATCGATGGTGAGCGGCGGGTGCAGGGCCTGCAGGATCTGTAGCAGCTGAGCTGCCTCCTGGGGGAAGGAGGGGAGGCAGGGGCAGAAGGGTCAGGCCCGGGGAG